GGGCTCAGGTGATCCTCCCACCTTAGCCTCCCAAGTAGCTGGGACCACAGGTACACAACACCATGTCCGGATAATTTTTTTATTATTTGTAGAGATGGGGGGGTCTCACTGTTGCCCAGGCTGGTCTTGATCTCCTGGGCTCAAGTGATCCTCCCAAAGTGCTGGAATTACAGGCATGAGCCACTATACTCAGCCTTAGGTAACATTTTAATTATTTTATTTATTTTTGAGACAGGGTCTCGCTTTGTTCCCCAGGCTGGAGTACTCAGCCTTAGACAACATTTTAATTATCTTATTTAATTAATTATTTATTTATTTTTGAGACAGGGTCTAGTTTTGTTGCCCAGGCTGGAGTGTGGTATTACAATCACAGCTCACTGCAGCCTCAACCTCTAGGCTTCAGGCGATCCCCTCACCTCAGCCTCCCAAGTAGCTGAGACAACAGGCACACACCACATGCCCAGATAATATTTTTTGTAATTTCTAGTAGAGATGGGATCTCATATGTTGCCTAGGCTGGTCTCAAACTCCTCGGCTTAGGTGATCCCCCTATCTTGCCCTCCCGAAGTGCTGGGACTACAGCACCTAGATGACATTGCACCTAGAGGACATTTTAGAAAAGGCAAAACTATAGGGACAGGAAACAAATCAGCCATTGCCAGGGATGGGGAATGGGGAAGGGGTTGACCATAGAGTCATGGGGGAATTGGGGGGTGATAGAACTGCTCTATAGCTTGATAGTGGCTGTAGTTACAGGACTGCATGCATTTGTCAAAACCCACAGATCTACACACTAAAAGCTGAATTATACTATATGTAAATTATACCTTAATTTAAAAACAGAAAAAAAGAAGACAAAAGAAAAAGGAGGGCCCTTAAGAAAACCATATAGCCCTTAAATTCAACCTTTCTGATCCAGCTCTGCAAAGTCAAATGTGAAATAAATGATGTCATATTATGCCATCATGTCCTTTTGTAGGAAAAATATGTCTAAAATATACACACTTGACTGAGAATTACCTCAAAGTAGCAAAAATAAATTTTGTTACACATAAAAATAACTTATTTTTATACTTTTAATTTTATGTATCAAGGTAAATTGATTTCTCCACTATTTTATACAAAATGTTGGAACCTGTTTCAGGTGGTGCTTTTGCAGGGCTCCATTTATCTTTGGATAATGAGAACCCCAGTAATGCATCTCTTGAAGACTCTACGCTGACCAGGACCAAAGTTTTGCATCTCTGTTTCCCACAGACTCCAAGAACAACAGAACATTTGTTCTTACATTTATAGCAAGGTTGCCTAAAAAGCACAAAA